TGGCAGCAGGAACTTGGGTCACATTGTGTGGCATTACTAAGCCATATTACAGTGATGGATTATAAAGAAAGAACCTGACTCTCAGCACTCATTTTAAGGTCAAGAGTGGACCTGAACTGCTGAATACCTGTCCTTCAGATGTCTCAGAACCGTGCTTCCAAACAGTGGCTTGCTCCTTCGTTACTGTGACAGTATTTCCAGTATGAAACAGGGAAGTAAGAAGTTGTGATGTACTTATCAGAGAATCTTGCCCTTTGATCCTTAGGCCTAAAATTACTCAGTCTTAATTTCTCTTAGTATTTGCAATTGGAAAATCTTGCTGCTTTTGATATGTAAAGTATCCATACATATATTCATATGCTATCTTTGATGGAGGGCAAAGAGGGGTCCTGAGGGATTAAGGTCATATGCCCAAGTCACAGAAGAGCACATGGCTCAGTGATCATGGTTACATTATAAATAATAACGTTTTGGCTGCAAGGTTAGGTAAAAGTCTTTAGACCAGATTATGTCCATATTGTAAAAGTCTCTCCTACATAGTCAGAAAGCAGAGAACAGTGAATGCTAGTGCTCAGGTGATTTTGTTCTTTTCATTCAGTGTGAGACCCTAACCCATGGGATGGTACCACCAACATTAAAGTGGGTCTTCTCCCTTCAATTAGCCTAATCTAGAAACTGTCTCAGTGCTATGCCCTGAAGTCTATCCTTTATGTGATTCTAGATTTTGTTGACAAATCACTATTAACCATCACATAAACCAAAGTATTATCTTAGAGACTTGGAGGAAAGATTCTCAAAGAACATCCCAAGTTCCTCCTAAGATCCAAGCATTACTCAGACAGAGAAGGATGAGAACAGAGGCGTGTATGAAGCTACAACATGACATCAGTTTGGAGTTAGAAAGGGCATCTGAAGGAGAATCCACTTGATGCCTGGTCTGAGAAGACAGAAGATCACTGGTTAAACTTGGGCAACTCAGCTCAGCAGAAGAAAAATGTTGGGCAAGGAAATGAAATAGAGGAAAGGTGCAAAGATCAAAAATTGTAGTTATCTCATTTTTAAAATGTGTAGTCTCCTTGGTATTCTTTCACTGGAGAAAATCAAACACTCTCAACCCCTCAAGAGTGTGATGGGCCTGTCCTGTAGAGTTGTCCTTGAATCCTCCATGACTATGAGGGAGCTGAAGCTAAAGAACTGGACAGAATATGAGGCGGAGGAAGAAGAAAAAGAGGAGGAGGAAGGGGAGGAGGGGAAGGAATAAGAAGAGGAGGAGAGGGAGGAGGAGGAACAGCAACAAACTTGTGGGCTCCGTTAGTTATTTTAATGATTAAGGATTGTTTCTTTCTTGAGTGCCAAGCAGAGAATGCCTCCATTGTAAGTCTAGCTTCATATGCTGGGAAACTGTAACAGCTGCTTTTCGACTGGTATGGGGTGAATAGAAACAGGTGTGCAAATCATCATCATTATTTTTCCAGTTGCCACTAACACAGTTTTGTAAGAATGCTCTATGGGCCAGGACTTTCTAGTCATCATGCACAACCACAGTGAATCTAAAGTGCAATTATTACACCAATCCTTAAATGAATATTTCATGTGTATAGATCTGTCTCCGAGATATTCAGATGGAAGTTGGCATCATGGAAGGGATAGGAGGGGAAGGTAGAACCAGGGAGGGAAGACTAGGAAAAAACAAGACGCTTTAGGAAGGAGACACTGAAGGGAAAATCCTCCCCAGCAATGACTTCATTGACAAGGAGGGACAAGTTCTCTTCCCCGGTGTTTACATATGCTATTGTTTCCGTCTTTGATGCTTCGTTTACTTTGGAAGGAAATATTTTATCCCTTTTGAGATAATTAATTTTTGTCAGCTTCGCTGTTTATAAGGGAAACTGAGAAACTGTTAATTGAAATACAGAATGAGTCACTGTTTTCAGTAATTTTTGGCAGCATTCTAATTTGTGTCAATTCCAGCCTAATTATTAGATTTTGTTGGAAGCAGGAAGCATATTTGATTTTTTTTCTCTTATTGAATTTTTTCTTTCCCCACTTTTTTTTTTTGAAACGTGTTGTCTGGAAAAGATTGTATAAGTTGTATCAATGTGAAGTGAAATACCCATATATCTGAAATCCTGGGAGGTTTATTGCATCATGCTTGGCTCTACACAGTAGTTCAATATTTAGAAAGCTTGTAGATTGTGATCTCCCTCCTTCCCTCCTGCTTACCCGAAGCTTCAATGAGAAAATGTGATTCTTTTAAAGACCTTTTCACTGGGATGGAGTCGCAGTCTATGGACCATCACTAATGACATCATGGAAGTGAATTTCCCAGAAGCCATCAGGGAGAGTTCATTTGGAAATCCAATTGAATGTCACTTGCAAAGGGCAGTCGCCTGGTAGGGGTAGCCAGTTATGCATCCCTGAGTCGTTGGTTGTAAAAGCATTAATCACTATGAACTCATTTACTGTCAACGCAAACACACTGCATTATTCTACAGGAATTTTGTTCCAAATGATCATTAATGCAGGCAACACGGAGCTGCTGGTGTGGCTGAGGTTAATAAAATCTGTCAGCTCAATGGCCAGCGTAATGGGCCTGTTAATGGCTCTTAATAGAAGCTGGATATTTCTGACTGCAGTGAGGAAAGGCAGGAAGAGATGCAGGTGTTTGCAGGGCAGACAACTCCATCTCTCAGCTCCTGAGGCTTCTTCTGGATAGAGACAGCACTGAGATCAGTCACTGAGTATGACCAGGGACCAGAGTCAGTGATGGCTGGGAGCCTTGGCACCCATGGTGGGCAGGGAAGGGAGTCCCCAGGATGACCAAAGAGGGCTCTGCTTGCTCTCTAGCATGCTGCAGCTGGTTTCGGACATCCAACCTGGAGCTATGAATAGCCCAGACTCCTGCCTCCGCTCCATCCTGAGCCCATCCATGAGAAAGCTGACAGTCACAATAACAGTAACAACCATGAAAGCTCTCATCAGATGCTCCCAAGGACCAAGGACTAAGTGATCACACACATACACACACACACACACACACACACACACACACACACACACACGAATTCTAAATAACAGTAACAACCATGAAAGCTCTCATCAGATGCTCCCAAGGACCAGGGACTAAGTGATCACACACACACACACACACACACACACACAGATAGTGATCACACACATACATACACACACACACACACACACACACACACCAGAGGTCGGTCAGATGTCCTCACAGCAGTGTTCTAGGAGCAATGGCCTATGTGTTGTTCCCATTTGATAGTATGGAAGGCCAAGCCAGAGGTCTTTAGCTACCAGCCCAAAGTGATATTCAGAAGACTTTGTCCTTAAGCACCATGCTCCTTTATTGGAGGGAGACAGAAGCAGCAGCCTACAGTCAAACTCCAAAGGTACAGGACTTGGACCTTTCTCCATTTGTACATCCACCTTGCCAGTCAGCACTTCCAGGGCCAAGCATGGGCCAAGCCCATAAAAGCTCTGGTTTCTTGCAGTACTTCCTTACCACAACGCGGGGTTCCGAGAGCCCTTAGGATGCCCAGCTGTTCAGTGTCACCTGGTTGTGGCCTTGGCTGAGACATCTTGCAAGCCTCTCTCTAGCCAGTCTTTCTCACCCTACCCCCACTTGTCGCAAAACCTGTCACATTTCTTGTCGTCTGAGGCTCATCTTGACCTCCTGATTGTATTCTATTTACAGGGGGGTAAAAGAAGCTACTGATTCTTGGGGACTCCTCCTGAGCACAAGTCTTATGAGACTGGCATCAATAGATGCACCGAGACAGAGACATGAGCTCTAGATACACAGGCTGTTTGGCAGCAAAGGGACACTCTCAAGTCCTTTGAGAACTGCTGTGACTGAGGTGCTGACAGTCACTTGGGGCTGGAAATCAGAAGGCATGGAGTTGGAAAAGGAGACTCTGGATGCAAGGTGCTCCAAGAGAAGTGGCAATTGGGCAGAGTGACAGAGGGCTTTGTAAATGTCTTCAGCAAATGAAGGAAGCATTGAGCAGACACTCCCCCTCTCCCCCAGGGACCATTCCTGAAGCAGCTTCCAAACCCCAAGAGGGAGCAAGCCCATGTTGACTTTATCACTATCAACACCCCCATCCCTTAAGTTGTGTTTCCTTGATTGTATCATTTTTTAAAATGCAGTTTGAATATTTAAACAATATGACAGAGCAGATGGTCAAATGGATAGGAGATTCATGGAAGGAAGGAACACACAGAGTTTCAGAGGGGACTTAGCGCACCCCACAGCATCTACCATCCCCGGGGGAACTGGTCTCAGTGCTGACTGCAGTAAAAACACAGAGATGGTAGGGCATGTTCTCTGGGTCCCCAAAGCTGAGAGATGCACACTGGAAGTGCTAGACTACATGGCACCATATGTAATGGCATAGAACTGAGTAAGAGAAATTAACAAGAGGGAAAATTCACAGACCGCATTACAGAAGATTGCATTGGCTGTAAAGCACATAGAGGATCAGCAGACACATGGAAAAAAGACACATATGGAGAAGAAGCGTGGGGAGCGTTTTAGATGGAGAACAGCATGCAGAGCACAAAGAAAGCAAGAGACGCCATCCTATTCCAGTGGAGGAAGAACATGTCTGTGGATGTGTGCATAAGAAAGCATGTATGCATGTAAGAGTGTGTGTTTGAGAGTGTGTAAGAGTGTGCGTGCTTGGCACGTACACATGCGTGTGAATGTTAGAAGAAGAGCACAGTGTGCAGTATGCAAGGCCAGAGAGGATATTAACACATCTCAAAGAGCCTTGGTACCCAGAGAGAGGAGTTTGGACCAACATAGCAGGCAGAAGGGAGCTACTAGGTCCTGGACATCCTAGAATGATCAAACTCAAGTTTTGGAAAAGTCAGCCTGGCAGTGTACAAGTGAATGTACTGGACAGTGAAGAGGGAATTATGGGCACTGTGAGCAGCCTGGGCACCCTGCCTCATGATTTTCCTCTTTTCTTCTACAGCACACTTCCATATTTCCCTTATCACTGGTTGAAGCCATCCTCAGACCATATCACTATCCATCGAAGAAGCTAGGACTCACATTGTTGACTGTTTTTAATCTTGCCTATATTACCAGGTAAGAATTGCACAGAGAGGGTCAACTGAGGTTTGGCATTCAGAACTCTAAGGAACAGTCCGTAAAAGTATTCCACTAGAATCTCTACATTGGCTTAGCTGTGATCTACCCATTTTTAAATTTCCAAGGGAGAAAGATTCTTATTGTTTGATTTTAAGACTCATGTAAGCTCACATTCAGAGGACACAGAGGTATGCCTGAACACACAGAGAGAGAGAGAGAGAGAGAGAGAGAGAGAGAGAGAGAGAGCAAAGCACATCTTTTCCCCTCATGAAGAGTTAGGAGTCAGTCATTGTAAAGAAGCACATAGGCATGCTTTTCCAAGAATATATTTATTTAATTTGCATTTGCCATTAAAATGTCTGAGGCATGAATGACCTGAGGTAACTATACATACTCCATCAAAATAGGCATGTGGCAGGAGGGGCAAGCTGCTTCTGTCCATTCCTGTCGCCTGCATCACTGTAGGCGTCACACAGCTGCATCTTGCATTTGAGCACCTAGAAGACACTTGGAGAGTTGCCCAGAGACCTACAGAAAATGTTTGCTAGAGTCATGGAGAATGAATCAAGTAGTTGGCCTCGATTTCATCACTCAGCCACCTGACACTAACTTTAGGTAATGCTGCTTAGTGGTCTACAATCAAGGGAATGCACTGGACCTTCTGCCTGGTACTTGAGAATGCCCTCATCCCTTCCACAGCTATTTACTTATTTATGTATTTATTCATTCTTTCTTTCTTTCTTTCATTTAGAGACAGTATCACTTTTTTGAATAACTTTGAAAAACTATTTTATTTATTATTTTCATTTTATGTGTATGACTATATTGCCTGCACATATGTGGATGCACCCATGTTGTGCAGTGCCGCGGAGGTCAGAAGAGGGCTTCGGATTCCCCTGGAACTGGAGTTAAGGACGGTTCGTAGCTGCTATGTAGGTGCTGGGAATCAAACCTGGGTCCTCTTCAAGAGCAGTCAGTGCTCTTAACTGCTGAGCCATCTCTCCAGCCCCAAGAGAGAGACAGTATCTCTTATAACACAAGCTAGTCTTAAATTCGGCATATAACTAAGGATGACTCAATGACACTGAACTTTCAATCCTCACATCCCCAACTCCCAAATACTGGAATTACAGAAATGTACCACCATGCCTATATAATGTTGGGGACTGAACTCCGGACTTCGTGTATGCCAAACAAACACTCTATCACTGAGTTACATTGCCAGCCCCACCTTCTACAACCTGCTCGTGAGACCCTGTACCATGCCTGAAAAAAACCATACCAAGTACAGGACCTGCATGCTGGAAGCTGGTCAGTACTCCTTCTCTGAACCCATGTGACAGTCTGGATTGTCTCCCCATAGTCCCGGTATAGGAAGCCCTTTAGTACAATGCTCTGTTAGTGATGTGAGCCAAGCAAGAGATCACATTCCAAAGGACATGGGCCGGAGGGACCATTTTCATGAATGTTACCAACCTTTGCCCTAAAGCTGGGTACCCAGAACTCTTGAGCTGGCTCCTTCATGACCCTCCTGCCTTTCCATGTTGTCTTCTCCCGTACCCTGCCTCACTCTTTCCTGAGTGCCCCAAGTCTTTCTTGCTTCTCTTTCTTCTACAATAAAATCTCCCCAGAGTCCAGTGCTTGATAGTATTCTCCAACCTCTGGGGTATTTCAGTCTTAACAAAAGACATTTTCTGAGAACAAGGCTGAAGCTGGGGACCACTGGTGGTTGACACCTGGATCATTATGCTAAGAAGGCTCCTGAGGGCCGTATTGTATGATTACTAAGCAAAGTTATAGTAGTGTGAGTTTGGACAGTGGTGGGGTATGTGCTATGTACATGTCATATTTTGCTTAACCCAAAGGAATAATTCCTTACTACAAAGCATTGGGACCTGGTGGGGAGTAAAGAGCACAGACACATCAGACACATGAAGCTATGTCTGCTGTACATGCTGTAGAGCAAGCCGTGTGGAAGCTTGCTCGTAGTCCACTTCAATTTGTATTCCCCACCTTTTTGTGGACTTCAATTCTTTTCATTGCTAAGCATAATTCTTGGTTTTAATATGATGACTCATTTGTTGACATATTAACTTTTTTAAGGACTTGAAAGTCGATCATCAGTTTATACATCTGACCGTTGAAGAGTTCCTATGGTCTCAGCTGTTATTAGAAAGAGTTGCAGTGATCATAATGATGAACAATGGTGGCCAGAAAGTCTAGACCTGACAGTGTGTGGGTCCCAGTTCCAAGGATGCTGGGAACTGGAAGGTTTCTAAAGAAAGCATGAAGAGGGGGTGAGTTACAGCATGTCCTGTGTCCATTCACTTGTTTGTTTTGCCAAGGACTGTGTTTAGATACTGTGGACATAGGGAGGTACAAAGCCTGTTCCCCTAGGGACTGTCTAGAAATGAGAAGGATGGGCAGTGGGAACACACAGCAATGAACTAGCACCAAGGAGCCCGGGGTGCTGTGGGCACACGCAGAGATGGACAGGGCTGGCTTTCTAAAGGGACAAGTTGTCTAAGCTTAGACCCAGAGAAAGAGTAAGAATAACTCTGAAAAAATGTGGAAAGGACCTTTCAGGCTGAGGGAATGATGACACTGGGGGAACTGGAGAGTATAGTTGAGGACAGGGGAAAATTAGGACATGAATACTTCTCAGTGAATTTGCATTTATAAGCTGAGTGCTTTTCTGATTAAAGAAAGGTTTTGAGCAGAGTCATAAATACTATGAGTTAAGTAACAAAGGTGTTAAGTAAGGAGATTGAGGCTGAAGTGTGGGAATTGGACTGAGGAGGAAACTCAGCAGCCTTGATATCAGGCAGCAGCTCACAGAACCTAACTGGAGCAGGATGACCTAGAGATCAACTGGCCCTGGGACACTGCGGTTCTAATAGGTTAGATGGCATGCTCAAGGTCATGAGCTCATAAAGCAGAGGTGGAGGAGGAACAACACTTAGGACTAAAGCCACATTAAACTGGGGTCTTCTATTTCCAAGCCCAGTTCTTTCTCCAATGTGCACATAACTTACTGTCTCAGCAAAACCTCAGGGCCGGTGCTGAAGACTGGATGCGAAAGCGGGTGTAAAGCTTGCCCTGGTCTTGGCACTTTAAAATCTTTCTTGCTGTTTTGTTCCCACTTTGTACTCTAATGGGACACTAAAAATAATATAGATAATGGAACAAATGGAGGGGAGGGATGGAGACCTGTCACCAAAGGGAATGTGACCATCTGGTGGCCCTGATGCTAGAAAACTGTGATGATTTGGGATCTGATTCCTGTTATCTCTAAAGAGAAATACTAAACCAAATGCAAATGAACTTGGGGGAGTTTTTCGTTGTTCCAAAATGGACGTTTCCGTATCAGTTCCACCCCTCATAAGTGGACCTGAGACTCCGCCTGCTGCCTCTGCCCTGGCACTTCGCACCTCCAAGCCCTCATGCGCACAGATGGCCACTAACAAGCTCCCCAGTGGTGGCTACAGATGGAGAGATTGTAGGAAAGTGGCTCTTAGGTGCGTCAAATGGGGAGCTGGCATACCAGCAGCGTGGGCTGGGGCCCCAGAGAGCGTGAGAAACAAACATGAGTCAGGAACATGGCAGTAACTCTGAACTAGAGAAACATTATACTGATGAAACCACAGTACAATGACCTAAAAATAGCCATGCAAACCCGAGGGACCGCCTCCCCTGTGCTGTTCACTTTCTGTTACTTCTCAGATTGCAAAATTGGAGGTCTGACCCATCAGAGGGAAAACAAAGCTTCGCAGAGTACTGACTGAAAATCTTTCATTTCCTTTGGAAAGCGTTAGTCAGCTCTAACCCTGGTAGCTTGCTCATTCCTCCCTGCTCTCTCACCCCCAAACGCCTCATCTCACTCCAAGGCAGTGGTGAGGACAAGGAAAGCAATGTTCCTTCTTTGAGCTTGCTCATTTTTTTTTAAAGAATAGAGCACATATTTCCCCCAATACAGGGCTGGTCCTCCTGGGAAAAGCAAAGTCATACAAGGCCAAGCACCAGCCAGCATTGATCCTGAGTAAGTGGAGATGAGCTATGCACACATATCACAGGACCATGAGCTGGAAAGCGGGTGTCATAAAACGGTGAACGGAGTTCCAGGGACACAGAGGAGGAAGCGGTGGCATGGGAAGGTATCGTGGAAGGCATGCATTGAGCCCGAGACCCAAAAGACCAAGCAGGTTTAGAGCTGCAATAAGTGAAAAAGACTGAATGTGAGAAAGTTCTCAAGCCAAGAGAATGCAGAGCACACAGAAGAAGACACACTCATGGATCTGTTAGTGGGGCACACTAGCAAAATAACCCGGGGACTATGTGCTCTTAGAAGCTTATGAATGGCAGCCTGGAAGAGGCTGGCATATGCTTTTAAATTTGTGAGAGGATTTGTCCTAATACCTCCTTCTTGGAATGAAACTATCATTCATCAAGATGGATTTAATGTGGCCATCCTACCAAGCGTCACAGCTTAGCAACAGCATTCTGGCTACAGAGCATGGGTCGTTCCCTACCTCCCTGTGAGCGTGTGGCAGATGCTAGCTGTAGCTCACTGTTGCTGCCCAGTATCTTAGGAGAGGATTGACCCACATACTCCTAGCCTGGGGAAGAATCCAAATCCAAACTTCCAAGTATATTTTTTACTGAATACCTCACTTTCCTATCATCAACAAGTTGAAATAATTTTAAATCAAACCCTTGTAAGTCTGGGGCATCAATACAGATGGTGGGAATTTGATGTTGCTATTGTTCATTCTGTGGAGTTGGGGTAAATGTGAACAGTATTCATGGCCAAGGAACTGTGCTTTAAAAAGTCCTGACAACAGTTAATATGGATGGAGGTGATAAGGGATAGGAACAACTTAAAATAAAACAATAATATAAAATAAAAATTAGGTTGCCAAGCAACCTAATGTGTTTAATCATAAAGTCTTATTCTTCATCCCATGATAGCCCATAATTTCAGTGGTATCCCACATCTG